TGATAAATATTTTAATGATAAGGAGGGTTTTTTTAATAGTTTAGTTCACTGATGGGATAGCCTAGAAGGACCTTCAGCCCCCTTGTTGTCCTTAAATTTTATGTTATATAGGTGATGGAAGAAACTTACAACCTACAGTTGTATCATGTAGTATGTGTACAAAAACACATGTGGAACAGCAAAATGAAAAATAGAGACCATAGGTGGTGCTGCTGCAAGGTTACTTCAAATTATATTTTCTTATTACACGTCACCATTAGAAGTTTAATGCGAGAGTTCATTCATTCACTTAGTTACTAATATTAAAATTATACTTATGCACATACTGAAGGCATGCTCTGTGCTGCTATCACGTTCTAATTCATCAGGAACCCTGTTATAATGGAAAGAGGACATACTGATATTGAATATTTTTTGTGACTTCCAGTGACAAGTCGAAGGTCACCTTGCAGTGTCACATGTCATTCTTTTTTTTAAATAAATGTGTTCTCCATGTTTCATACACCTCTACTATTGGCTGTATTATTCTCACACAACCCATTTGTTTATACCCAAACTTATTTTGTGTCAACTTAGTGTTCTTATAGCTAGTTAGGCTTAGTTAGTTGTTAGTGAGACTCACTTGTTACAAAAATCTATACAAGAAATTTGAAATTTAAAAAGTATATTTATACTGTTTAAAAAATAAATATAACCACACATATTGAAATATTACACAATGGACATTTAACATGTACTCAAGAATTTAGTAAGTGGAGCAAAACTCTAATAAATTGGAGAAAATATATAAAACTGTGATTTTAAGCCATGACAGTATTTCCAAGCTAATTTATGGATACTAAAGACCATAATTATATCATTAAGCTTATTTAGAGTCTTTTAATAAAACAAGAGAAAGGTTTTTCAAATTAAAAAATGTTTCTCTCTCAATATACCTATGTAACTATATGTCTCTCAAAGAATAAACACAAACTTTGTGCAAAATTAATGCAGGTTCTCTTGTCCACAGCATGCAAACATAGAGATGCCCACAAGCTATTCTCACATAGTGGTCTTACATAGCAGCACAATTTTTTCAAGCAAGATAATTCAAAGTATAAACCTTTTTTCACCAGTATGTTGCAGTTTCTGCATATTATACCAAGTACATACACCCTCTCCTCCTTTAAAAGTACTAATGTGTTATGTTTTATAGTTAGTTACAGAGCAGTGTAGCATGTAAAGCTCAGAAACAGAAAACAACCACACCATTATATTATTCACAGGTTTAAAATGAGCCTACATGGATACTCCTAACAGACACTAACATGCTATCTTCACTTCAAACATTCCATCACCTTAAATTAATAAATACTACAGTTGAAAACAACACAATAAGCATTTTTATTTGGAAATGTCCTACAGTAACCATTACAATTGACAAGTTTCGACACTCTAATGCATCATCTTACTTACGTTGACATTGTGTTCAGGTAAATAAAGTTGTACATATGCATTGTCCAAGACACTGAAATTATCAAGTAATACAAAAATATTTTAAATAGCATACTTAATGCATTCAAAACTACACATACATAAACAGCACCCAGTGATGTGAGCCAATGTGAAGAAGTGAAAAGGTATCATAATGCACCTCACTCAGGGCTAACTGAAGATGTCAAAGAGAGACTGCAAAAATGTTTACTACTGCTTACTGTGTTGTCAAGCATTAATTACCAATGATGCAGGAAGAAGGACTATGTAAGCTTCAAGGAGAAGCTCAAGTTGGATATTGAAAATCAGAATCACAATAATCATTTGTGTGCAAGATTCATAGACAGCATATATGCAGTTATTGAAAACAAAGTGAAACAGTCTACAAAACATTTTCCATACTTGTCATTTCTTACAAGTGCATCAGCAGACCAAAGGTAGAGATGGTCTATGTCAAGGTCACAGATGACAGAAAATCAATAAGCAAAATTGATAGAAGCCAGCTATACAGAATTGTAAAGCTGATCGATACAAAGATGCAGTTCATACTGCAATGTCTCAACTCTGTAATAGTTGAAAAGAGAAGTGAACTGGCTTTAACTTCAATGACAGTATGTTATGATAGGAATTAAAACTGTTTGCTACTCTGTATAAAAGGGAGATCCCCCACACAGTAATCTTATGGTGTGTTGATCATCGACTGGAACTGGCTTTTCTGATGCTTCAGAAGAGAAATCTCTGTTGAGAAAAATTCACTGGCACTCTACTTGTACAAAATGTACTATTGCTCATTTAAGGCTGTGAAGGAATTGAAGAATGTTGCTGAGTCCCTAATTCAAAAGTTACTGAGACTACCCAAAGCTATATGAATAAGATGTACTATATATGTGAGATGATCTCTACAAATGACAACAGAAAACCACCAGTGACTGCTGGCTCATTTTCAACATTTACAGACAGCTTCAGATACTAAAGCAAAAATAAAAAGAATGGCCAAGACACCTCATAGATTCCTAACATCTTCCAAGTTATTAAAATTCATACTTTTCTTGATGGATGTGTTAGAAGAACTTGATGGCCTGTCTGAAGTTATGCAGAAGGAGGACATCACATTGGCAATGTCTTCTGGATGGACTGAAACTACACTTTAAAATTTGGAAAGACTGAAGCACAACCCTGGAGTAACTCTTCAAAGTTACTTGCATCCATTTTCTGAGGATGTTGAATTTAATGAAGTGCAACTGAAGAGCCTGTTTAAAGTTGTAGAAATTCAAGTGAGCAGAGCTTGTGACAAAGTAATCAATAATATTGTAGTTTAGAGGAGGATAAAAATCGAGCAATCTGCTATTTGAGAAGACAAGCTCATCCAAGCTACACTTGTCTTTGACACAACTAAATAGTCAGATTCCATGGTTTATCTGAGGGTTTGGCTTTTAAATCATTTTGAAGCTATCCTTGTGAAGGCAGGGTGTCAAACTACAAGAGTACTAGAAGAATGGATGGCTACTAAGGTTCTCACCTTCAGGCATCTAAAAAGCAACACTCACACTTGAAACTATTGGAGAAAACACTTAACCAACTAGAATTTGCAGATGAATATGCTAGCTTGTTCTACCTTGTCCAAATAGTGTTGCATTTGCCTATTGCAACTGTTGTTTGTGAGAGCCCTTCAGTTGATCTAAGATTCCTAATCTTGGCAAGTTGATAAGAATATCACTGAGAGGATCTTAATTTGAGAACACTGAACCCAACATTGCTCAATGGTTAGCTAGTTCTTAGAAGGGTAGGAGAAATTAGCTTTAAGACCTTTATGTTTAATAAACATTGAAACTGTACTAATCTTCCCTTTGGTTTAGTGGTCTCATATATATATCTGGCTTGTTATGCTCATGTATGACAAGGAAGAAAACTTATATAAGCAATCACATGATAAAGTCCTGTACACGTTATACTCAATAGTAATAAAAGTAAGGCTGTTTTACAGACTTAGCAACCATTATTAACACGTGCTAGTGATATTTTTCTCTAATTTCTAACATGTTTTTATTTTTAATATTAAAACATACTTTTTTGAACACTTACAATATTGAAAGCAACAGAATATTAAATTTTTGAATACAGAATGCATCTAAAACACTTTAGAAAGGTGATAAAGTTAAGATTTCCTGTAATGCAACTATGGCTCTAAAAAGCATTTCCTTGACAAAGACGACTCAGATAAGTTTTTACCTTAGCAACTTGACCTTCCTTATTGCCAAACTCATCAGTCTTGTCAAGTACATATAGAGGTAGAACATGCAGTTGTTCATCAGATGGTTTTTCCCAGTCTCTGTGTTTAGTAAGTGTAACAACCTACAAATAAAACACATAATTTGTATATAGCATGTCAGAAATTTAGTATTTTACTAGAACTATATCCATTTCTTGTAATAAAAACTTAATTTTATGGGGTTGATATTAACATTTCATTTTATTTTAAATAGATATGTTTGAGATATATATAACTACACCTTCAATAACATAGTTTCATACATATACACAGTTTAATTCTAGCATTTTCCCCACATAACCGACACACTACAAGAAGTGAATGATTATATACAACATATAAACACTTTAATAATGACAATCTTTGTAGTTAAATATCCCTCAACAATAAGCTATATATCAAATATCATAACATTTCCTAAGTAATAATAGACAGAAGAAAGCAAACGTACCACTGTACAACCATTATTCATGTTATGTAAATCCTTGTGAGCATGGGCACAAAAGTCCACACAAGCTGTCACTCCTGAAAAAGGTCGTCCTGTCTTGTAACCTAACCTACATGCTACTGCTTCAGTTTCAAACTCTACCTACAACAAAAGGAAATTTCTTTTGATGAATTACAAATATCATAAAAGCTTTTTCCAGAAATTATAAAATAAAACATGGAAGTTAACATTTTCCATAACTAAAAATGTAATTCAGATAGACACTTTGCTCTACACATAAAAGTAGCTAATCCCTTGGAGCTACTGCAGAAAAATGTTTGCACATGCAGCAGTGCAATGAAAAAAGCTATTGCCCTTACATTTAATAATGTGTACTGAACTAATTTATGTTGCAAGCACCATTAAACTATACAATATACTATACAATTGTTCTTACCATACATACACAATAAATGTCATTGAAATATTGTGCTTTATGTAACCTCAAATTACTGTATTCACATAAGCAGTTGCTTTATACAAGGCAAAATTACCCTATAGGGTGAAGAACCTAAAAGAACAAACCAAAAATTACTATTATGGTGTGTATATATATAGCTGCAAGTTTGCAGTATGGCTCAAACTAACCTTACAAATATTAAACCCATCAAATGTAACTGTGGGAGCTTGTCTATTCTCTTGACTGTAATGCAAAACTTTGAAGGTGGGTCCATCATTCCTTGATTTTAACTTTACCTTCCCCCGGAAAATTTCTGCAGATGCCAATGGATAGGGAAGTATTCCTTCTGAAACAACACTGGTGTCTCAGAAGGTTCTTTTACCTTTTTCTTTTTTTATGTTTAAGATGTAAAAGTCACTGAAAAAAAATTTCAGCAACCCACATCCTTAGAACCTCAGGAAAGAGTGGACAATGATAACTGAAGGGAGCTGAAACTGCAATGTGATGTAAGTAATGTGACACATGTCTGTGGGTCATCCACATCCCTGGCTATGAGATTTTCATCTAGTGGATATTGACAGAGACAAGAGAAGTCATGAAGTGGAAGAAGATAAAACTCAAGAAGCAGAAAGCTTCTATAGGAAGAAAAGAGAATTTTGATTGCTTCTAAAGGGAGCTATGCAAGTGAGATAACATAGTACTGCCTGCATGGAACAAAGGAGATAATCAGTGTCAGGAAGTACATATATAGAGATGAAATGGAAAGGAGGATGCTTGGAGAAAGCATCCAATAACCCTTCCATGCAGCCCAAGTCTGGAAAGAAGAAGTGACCTCAAATAAAAGCCTGTCCTTGTGCAAAAATGTGTGGAAAACATCTCAGGCAAAAATATCTGAACCATATCTCCTACAAGCTAGAAAAAGAAAATACATCTGAAGAAAATGACAATGTAGGGAATAAGTGGTTCAAACAGAGGATCCCCAAGAGCCCTGAGAACTAAAGAGAGGTTCCAGTCCAGAAGGGAACCAAATGATGAGGATGGTTGATTAGAAAGGCCTTGAAAACGTCTATAAAGAACCTGAGAAAGGAAAGGATAAAGGACCAATCCTGACTCAGAGCATCCACCACTAGGATAGCAGAGTCTGGGACTGGTGAACAAAAGAGTGGAAACTTGGTGTTGAGAGGAGTCACAAAGACAAATCTGGAACAAATTTACTGAAACATAAGTTCAAGTCTCCCAAGACATGGCAAGCTGACAAACAGATGTTATGGTTGTGGGCCCAAAAGAGAATATCTAGAACTAGAAAGCATAGGTCTAGAGAGGAAGTATCTCTCTGTTGTCTGATGGAAGAAACAATAGTGGTGTTGGACAAATGGATCATGATAAGATGTCCAGACAGCCTTAAAAAAGATAGTGGCATTGAACTGTCAATGTTTCAAGAATATTGATGTACAGAAACCATTCCTCTGGAGAACAAGCTCGAAAATGGTGAGGGTGTCCAGAACTGTAACCTACAGGAACAGAGAGGCATCCGGGAGCAGATGTAAGTTCAAGCATATAGGACTAATTGAGCCACCACAGCAGGAAGTGATGTCAGGAGAAAAATGAGAGAAGTCTTTGGATTTTTGGACATATTTCACTAATCTGTCATTGTTTACTGAAAGGGATGTAAATGGGCATGTTTCAGAGGAATAAGGGATATTTATGGTCCCAAAAAAAGATAAAGCGTCTCATGTAGGAAATGAAGAAGACATGAAGGCTTAAGAAACTAGAAACTCATTGTTTCAAAATGTAAAGGAGAGGTTGGACCCATGACCCATCCAGCAAATAAGTTGAGAAAGATCCTCAAATGAATAAGATATTAAGTGGGGGGGGGGGGGTGTCAATACTCTCAATGAAAGCCACATCAGCTAATCCAAACGAGCAGACTCATGAAAGGAGTGTGTCCACTGTATGAAAGCCCTAGGACTTAGTTGAAAACATAAAAGGAATAAGCACTGAAGGGCAAAGAAAGCCCCTGAGAGTGCACCTGTGTGACCCAAGGGTCTTCTGCAAAGAGAGTCAATAGGTGTACAAAATGTAAAAGATGATCTTCCATCAAAAGGGGGGTGAAGTATTGGTAGAAAATGCATAGTTGCTGATAAACATTGCAAAATGCAAAATTGAAAATTTGCTATGTATGTCCATATAAACCCAACAAACCTTCATACCAAATTGGGTAAAGATCCATGTAAGGCATAAAAATAGTTGTAAAAAAAAAAGCAAATACTCCCATAAAAACCACACAGAGCAAAACTGTCTGATGTTTGAGACACATGCAATAAGATTGCCCATAAGCCAGCAGAAACAACTGGAATAAGAGAACAAATGTCACATATCTGAGTAACCAGAGTGGCAAAGGAAGAAGTTGGAGTTACCTAATTCTCATCTTGGATAAAAGAACCAGAAGCAGTGTAAGTGGCAGGAAAGAAATATTGGTCAAAATCGTTCAAGCATGTGGCAGACTCAGTAGAAGCTATAAAAGCAGGAAGGTGTGAGCCCTCAGTTTGAGGCTAATAATGTTGGATAAAACCAACCATTTGATGTACAATGGTAGTAACATCTCTCACCATCAGAGTACCTCTAGTTGCCATTGCAGAAGAAGAATATGGCTCTTGTTGAAGTGTCTGGAACTTGGAAGGCTTCAGAAATGCAGGTATGAAAGTTCATATTCAATAAGATTCACAAAACTGATCTTTCTTTTATCCTTTTTTCATCAACACAAATAAAATTAATTAAAAAAAAGATAATTCTCTAAGTAAAACTAACTAAAACACTTCAGTTTAAATCTTATGTCCTTCATTCTCAAGAAAAATAAAACATTTAAATAGTGCAGTCCCAAAGAAAATAATGAGCTTTTGGTTTACACAAAGATTTCATGAGGAATACTGCACAAGGTAGTTGTATTACCCTCCTATTCATGAAAGGTTACAGTCTAATATCACTAATATATAGACTAATGCTGTACACGTTGTTATGTGCAGGGATGAGAGCTCTTTCAACAACTTGGCACATAAGCAAAAACTATTACCAGTAGCTCAGAAGCACTAACTGTTCTAAGGAAAGGTGAGTACCATAGTCTGAACATATAAGTATTAGCTGCTTTTTTTCCTACAAACAATAACATTGTATAATGAGATGTAATTTTTGGCTCGCACAAATCAAGTGATGTTCTACCTAAAAAAAAGACCATTTCTTTCTTTAATGTCTATCACACAGCAGAATATTAACAAAATACTAATTAGAAAAAAAAACTTTATATCCATCTAGGTAAGAAAGAACAACTAAAAAATTAGGAACACCATTATGTTCACAGTAATAATAACTCCAGTAATTTCTATAAATTACATTTAGTTAAATTGTTTTTGTATAGCTAGATATATTGCTGCAACTTGGAAATTCTATGTACTTTTACTAATCCCTTATGATTGGTCCAAAGTTCTTGAGTGTGTTAAGTTAGCTTTAAGATCATGACATAGGATGAAATAAATGTTGTTACATTAAAAAATATTAGCAACATATAGAAAGTCTGAAAAAAAAAGAAATAAAAAAATAGAACTACATAAAAGAGGTTACATTAAAGTCATAAGCTTTATACCGCAACCATTATAAGTGATTACCTACCTGATTGTTGTATGATTCAGGAGCAAGTTTCTTATATAAAGGAGCAACTTTTGTAGCTAGGTCTTGAAGCTTGTTTTCTAATTCTTCTTCCTTATTAATTATTATATAAAGTTAGTATATTTAATGAAAATGGCAAGTATTCTCAAATATTCTGAACTTGGCATGCTTGTTCTATGAATAAACTTTTATAAAACAAGAGCAATGTTTTATTTATTGATCAAATTAACTTTTATACATTTATCTGATGACAAAGAAAATAGGTATTTACAGCAAGTTTAAACCCAAATTCTCAATAAAAAAAAACTTTCCCCCTATATAGACCTACACATTTAATATTTGCTTTAAAACAAAGCATAAATTAATAAGTATGCAGAAGATTCAAAATCACTATGTTTATTTAACACTACACGAATATATACAGCAAATAACATTTTAAAGCAAGAGCTGGGTTAAATTTAATACGTGACAGAAAAAGTTTAGACAAATATATCCTTTCCTCTGAGACTCACCTTTTTTTAACATGTATTGTTATCACCAAGATTCTTTTTTGCTATTTCTTCTCATTGAGAAATATTGGCATCTTAAACTTATCAGCTCAAAAATGTATTTGTAAATAAAATAATTACTGAGTGTAACCTCATAGGATAACAAACAGATTTATGTGGCATACAATAATAGTTGACAGTCAATCTTAAATTAATGAAGAACACCAAGTCTAGTATTTGTTTGTAGAGTTTGCAATCTGAAGAAAATGGTGGTACAATTTCAGGAAGAACTTAAGCTTTTACATGCAATGGATACAGTAGCTAATAATGATTTTAAAAAAGTTAAAAACAGTACTATTAGGGCTAGAAGTAGTAGATTTAATTGTAATGAGCAGGTTCTATTAAGTGACATATTGCAGCCTTAAGCTTATGCAGCTAAGAAACCAAGAGGAAATAAAAACAAAAGGGAGAGCAAGGAATGAAATGCATATTGGAGATTATAGTTATAGGTGATTCTTTAGTATGGTGTGTGGACAGGATAGTCTGTAGGGTAAATACAGAGAAAAGAATGATATTACGTTATCCAGAGAGGATGTAACTGACACAGCAAGTGATGTAGTAAAGGATGTTAGAAGTAATGCAGTCTTTGTTGTACACACAGAGGCTAATGATGTAGGGAAGGGTAGGTCAGAGGAGTTAACCAATAAGTACAAAAGATTAATAAAGGAATTTAAAGAAAAGGGCCATAATTCAATTGTGTCAGAGAACAGCCAAGACTTAATTGTGGGGATGAAATTATAAGTAGGATTACAAATTGGCTGATGTCACTCCTCTTTTCAAGAGAGGTGATAGAAAATGTCCCAGTAATTATAGGCCTATTATTCTTACATTACTGGTGGGAAAATTGTTTTTAAAATTTGACAAAAAGATGCTTTTGCAAAGTCACTTATTAAGGTTGATATTTTATTGCATAGTCAACATAGTTTTACTAAGGGGAAAATTTTGCTTTACTAATATTTTGACATTCTTTGAAGATGTTACTGCTTATGTAAATGAGGGTAAGGGTACAGATTTGGTGTATTTTAATTTTCAAAAAGCATTTGACATGATGCCATATAAAAGACTTGTTAAAACATTATCTCCATAGGTGTGGAGGATAAGTTAATTAATTGGATAGTAAATTTACTGGATGAAGATAGAAGAATAGAGTTCACTAAAACTGGATTAGTGTCAGAAGTAGGGTAAGGGGTGTTACAAAATAAATCACACTTGTTTCCCAAAGAGCATAACAAAGTAAAATAAGATTTTAATTAAATCAAAAAAGTAATTCCAAGTATCAATATTGTTTGATTGGGCCACCACTGTTCTCACACACGAGTTTTAATTGATTTGCAAAAGATTTCAGCAATGCAACAAACACTGTGAGCACATCAGTGATAACACGAATCAAGGTTTCACATTTGTGTCTCTCACACTCAAGCAAGTTTCCAACATTTCTTCTGTGGATTGTAGAAAGAAAGCTCCAACATTTTCAGTGGGATTTAAATTTGGAGAGTTCCCAATCCATATTCCACCACTTTTTCACGGACCACTCTTTCAAATTCAACATTTCTGAAATTTTTGAGGCGTTAATAGGATTTTTCAAATCTGGCATTGCAATGTGTCAATTGGATGACTTGAATTCTTGAAGCATGCCTGTGACTAGTTTCCGAGCCATCCCAAAGGCAGCACATGTGAAGCAAACCTGAGTTCTAGAAAGCACCATGATTCAAAAGTTTTTGCAAAAAATGAAATTCGAAGAGTCAAACACCCAAAAGTACGTTGAAATGACGGTTTCTCACCAGTGATATATTTGCAGTCCTACCAAGTTCATCATTACTTCGGGGAAAAAGTGTGATTTATTTTGCAACACACCTTACCTGAGGAGTCAGGTGTTAGGACCTTTGCTCTTCTTTGATTTACATCAATGATATACATGAAGGAATGGCTAATAAATTACTTAACTTTTCTGATGATATTAAGGTCTTGAGTGTTTCTGGTTACGAGGAGAATGCTTCTGCTTTACGAAAGGATTTAGGCCATTTGGTAATTTGGGTGAATAAATAGTAGGTGGTTTTTAATTATGAAAAATGCAAGCTAATGTGTGTGGATTATAATAATTTAAATTATAAGTATAATTTTGATGGTGTTCTGGTTAATCAGTCTTTTAAGCCATCCAAGCATACTGTTGCTAGTGGTTTGGCAAACATGAATTTAGCTTGCATCTAAAGAAGTATTAAAAACAATTCTAAAAAGATTATAATTTAATTGTATAGGTCACTGGTTAGGCCACATTTGGAGTACTGTCTTCAGTCTTGGGCTCTTTACCTTAGGAAAGATATCAAATTGTTGGAAAGTCTTCAGAGGAGGATTCCTAGGATGATACCTGGGATGGAAAGGTGGTCATATAAGGCCAGGATAAAATTTCTAAAATTGTTTTCTCTTGAAAAAAAAAGAGGAGTTAGGAAATATGATTGAGGTTTTTAAGATCGTTAAGGGAGTTGATAGTGTTGATGCATCACCTTTTTTTTCTTACTTAACTGTGAGAATTTTATGACTAGGGGAAACAAGTATAAATGTTGGCAGGATAGGAGCCACCTTCAGTTAAGACAGGTTTATTTTTCTAACAGGGTAATTGGTGCTTGGAATGGCTTATCTTCAGATGTGGAGGATGCAGTAAATTTAAGGGAGTTTGAGGGAAGACTTGATAAATATTTATATAAAGGATAAGGGCTGGCTTTGGTGTTTTTTTTAAGGCCTAAAGAGCAAATTGCATAATGTAGGGCTACAGAAGAATGGATTTATTATCATTTAAAATTCAATGACTCTCACTTGATCAAATAATCTTCTACTAATACATTAATATATATATGTTAATTACCTAAAATGAAACTATTTTATAATAACCTCATATACTATCAAACCATGCCTAGTCAGTTAACACTACAAGTGAAAATAAAAACATTTAATTAATTAACTAGGGTACTCAAATGATGATTCATGCATTTTAACCATTATGAGTTTCTAGTATTCTTGTGTGCCGATTTATTACATTATGTATTCTGTGTCAGTTTGCCTTGTAAAATTGGCCTCATAAATTATAGAATACTATTCAGTTCTGACATACATTGTTTACTTATTTTTGACCAGAAATTATTAAAATTACATTAGAAACCATTATTAAACCAGTTTCAAATTTCCCCAGTAATGTGCTAGTTAGGTGTAGCCCATGACTAGTCAATGTCACAGGAAAATTTTATTGGACTATTCAATTAAGGCAACTTGTGCAATAAATTTTAAAATTTTGATGTATTTTTCTTTTTCAATTTTATTGGCTAATTATAGTTAGTATTTTTGAATCATTTTTAATATTCTCTAAAATGATGTTTGGTATATATTTCAACCTTCTGATAATTATGTCAAGCCTCAATCTTAACTTTTGAAGGCACTTAACAAATGGATACTAGTTTTTTATTTCAAGAGCAAATTCAAGATAGCTACCAGCAACAACGTTATTCTTCTCTGAAATTAATTGTAACTGTGTCATAATTAATTATTTCATGTATTAAATGCTAACGATGTGTATATATCCTATTTATTTGTATAAATCTTCTATGTCATGTTTTGTTTTCAAACAATTTTGAATAAAAAAACTCCTCTTAATTAATTACATGTAACAGTTTTTTCATATTTTAAATATTTCACAAAATCTAAATAATGCTTGATTTAGGTGGAAACTGGTGTATCTAAGTAATGAGTCCCAGTTTGGCAAAGTCTTCAATACCCCACTGCTGATGGATATCCTATCCTTAAAAAAAAAAGGATTTTATTATTAAAAGTTATGGTTTAACCCTTTCCAGATGGGTCACAGGTGAAAGGCCAAGTCATCGCATTTGTTGACTTGGATTCAAAATTTTATTGAACTAGTATTTCATGAATTTATGCCAATACGTTTGGTATCAAACTGTAGATTATAATTCAAATTTTAGTATTGTACTTTACTCAATTTCTTAATTTAAAAGTAAATATCAAAAGAACACAGTTAAACATTGATTTTTGTGTGTCACATATTATGTTGAATGCAGCACTAGTTCAAATTAGATGTTTGTGATGTCAAAATACTAAGTCTATAGTTTTGTATGAATTAGGAACTAAAATTACCAATAGGGACCCTAGAAGAGAAAAAAAAACAATAACTGTAAATCAGATAATACGTTACACACTTCCCTGTTAAAATCTAGTAGAGGTTCTAGAGAACAGTTCAACTGTGCAGCCAAAGACACCGATAGGTGTCGAGCCTGGTGAGAGGTGACGTAGAGCATATTGCGATCATTAACAGATAAGCCTGAATAGGCAATATGTATCAACTTCCAAAACTATCTGGTTAAAGTAACAGGTGATAAATCCCTGGATACTGCAGAATCCAAATGAATAAAAAGTCTGTTCCTAGAGCCTTGAAATGATTCCGTATGAGCCACATAACATCTGAGCGCCCTGATGGGACATAAACAATCCGGGTCTGATCTACTGTAAAGATGAGAAATCCCAGGTAAATGAATAGAAGAAAAAGATTTGTTTCCTTCTCTGGCATTGAGAGTTTTTGGAATAAATGATCGGTCAGGATAGAGCAAAACACAGGTAGAATGATAGAGAGTCCACTGAACATGAATGGCAAATAAATCAGAATGATGGCATCTGGAAGCTAACAGCAATAAAAAATAAACAGTGAGAGAAAGGTGATATAATGAACAGGAGGCCATGGGTTTGAAGTGATAAAGCATGTAAAACAACCCTAAAGTCCCAATTAGCAGAAGGTGGCTGATCAGATGAGTCCTCAGGAGAGGAAGCTCTAGTGAAATAAGGAGCAGGAAACAGGGAGTCTAAATTCTCTCCAGAATATCCCGTTTCAGAATAAAAATTCAAATCAGCATTTTCCGGAGAGATATCCCAGGGCCGCATGAAGGTCTCCATTTCGCCCCGAATCAGGTCACAGACAGCTTCCAAGGACAGTTGCTCAAAATCGACCAAACCCGTACAGAGATTCATTACTGAAAATAACAGATAAAATATAAAGTTTTTTCTTTAAGAAATGTTTGATAACTATCTGGACATTATAATGATTCCACACGTGAAATTTGAAATTTTTCTGATGCACAAAAGTATTTTTAATCTTAAAATTACTTTGCATGTTGGATAGGCAACATGCAAAAAGAAAAAAGGCAAGAAAAAAACAATGCTTAACAAATTTTAAGTCTTAATAAAAAAAAATTATATTTTGCATATGAAAGTATTGTAATGTTTACTAATCTGCCAAATTTTGTTAACATACACTTACTAATTTAAAAGTCATAGCATGAAAACTATAACAAGCACAGAATGGTTATGAGGTCGGTCCCAGGGACAGAGCCCATGCTGAAAGAATTAAATGCCAAAATCTTGCAAAGCATCAGATGCTAACAGGCCTAATTTTTGTGTTAATCATGAAAGAACAAAGATGGATGCAGAAAAAATAATCTGCAGTTCATGTGATTTCTACTTTATTGTCACCTCCAATGAGCAACCACTTGAGTACAGAATTTCTTCTACAACCACCCTGCTCACAAAATGGTTGGATGTTGTGCCTCAGCAAACAATCTCACACCATGAGAACTTATCTAGGAGGTGAAGGTTGTAAACATTTTAGACCAGGGCAACAGAAGGGTCTAGAGTGTGGCCTTGAATGAACATTTGGGGAGATAAATTTGCCTATTCTTTACATTTAAGTTAATTTGACTAAAGAGAACAAAATATTTTTTTTTTGTGATGTCAGTAATAATTAATTTTTTCCTAATATTATCAACAATTAGTGCTATAAGTAATCCTACAAAGGCAATTCATATTATGAAACTAAAGAAAACGCACTTCCCTACAAATATAGTCAACAGTAACTGTACTAAAAACATCTTTTTCTCCAATGATTTGTAATCAACTCCTCATAATCAGTGATATTTTGCCTATGATTTTCACTCTAATTACTACACAATAGTATTATCAAATATTTATTCATTTTCACAACTTCTCATACTGACATTACACTATCGTCTGCCAGGAAGTCAAGGCACTAACATGACAAGGAAGGTTTACAGAATGAGGAAAACAAAACAAAAAGTTAACAATAAAAATATGAGTTTGGACATAGAAGTAAAGAAGGCAAGCCAAAATTACATGAAAAATACAGAAATTGGGAGGATTACATATGAATTTGGAAAACCAGAAGAGAGGCTATATAGTACAAGGAAGCAAAATTGCACCCTCTATACATACACACTAAGATCTACCTGTGCTAACCACATTTCCTGATACTTAGCCTTGGTATGACATGCAGCTCAAATGGAGATAGCTAAAAAGGCCAATGAAACATTATTGTTAATCAGAATTATAATAACCTTCTCTACTGAACTTTGCAACATAAGTTACTGAGATGCATGTATCATGGGTGTATTGATACTAATGACAGTAAGAATCTGTAAATCTTCTTTGTGAAACCTGTGCTAACTTTTCTCTTCTAGTGCTCTCAAGGTTTTGCTAGCAAAACTGTAACACTAACCAATAATTTATTAGTGTTAATTTCAAGCCCAGTATGTTTCTAACCTACAAAGTAATGCTGTTACAACATGTCCTGTCAAAAAAAAAGAAAATGTTCCAAATTGATACATACCTCTTTCTGCTCAGACAGCTTAAACTTTCTGGCAACTTTACTTCTTGCAAACTTACAACCATTGTAGTACATACTCCATGAACAACCAAAGGAAAATGATGATCCACATGTATCTGGGTCAAGTCCTTGACAAACACAGTTTCTTCTGCAATTAAATTAATTTCAAGTGTAAGTAATACTACATTTTAGTGTGCAATATAGTTTAAAATAATGTTTCTACTGCTTAGTGCAGTTGATATACAATCATATTTCTTTTCTATCAAAAAGTGCAATACAGCAGTAAGATATGTAAATAAACTTATTTTGATAATGCTCATTTCTTTGCTATTTAGTTTGTGTGTATTTATTCTATATTTTAAACACAGAGCTGGTTTATTAGATTGCATTAATCAGTAATTTATATTTTCTTCCCACTTGTTTGAAATTGAGACACTTGATATATATAACTGATATTTTCTAATGATGATTAATATAAATGAGCAAATACTGAACTTTATAAAGCTTGTTTGTTTGCAAAACCACATGGGATTATTTGCAAAAAACAAATAAAAGGTAATATAGAATAAATACATTCACATTTGCTTATTATATATAACTATGTTCACAACTTTTGTGACCTAGCTTGGCAAAATATTCATAAAACATCTGTGCTAATTCAGGTAACACTTATGGAGATTTTATTTGATTTTTTTATTAATCATTTATACGACAATTAATTGATCAGAGATGTACTATTAGTAAGAAACACTATCATTTATTGCCGGTAACAAAGGCATACTCACACTTCATTCATACCACAACGTCTTTGTGTTGGCAATCCAAAATTCACAGTTTTGTGCACTACTGTGTCATACAGCTCATCAGCTGTCTTGGATGGTACCCCTTCCCAGGCAACAATTAAAATAATGATGAATGATGTGCTACATTTATGACCCTCTCGATGTCGAACTAATGCCAACAGTTTTTCCTCAGGACTTGATCGTCGTATAATCCACTTGGTCATTGGACAACCTTGGGGGGTCTTCCCTTCTTTTCCTGTATATATAACCTTCTCTATCCTCACTGCCTTTCCATTCTGTCCAAGTCTATAAATATAAAAAAAATTCACAAATCATGCTTAAAGAAACAACAACAAACAAAAACCAGAACATACATCAATAAACAAACTTGATATCCTAACAGGCAAATAAAAATACTTCATAAATTAATCCAAGTAAGAAAATATGAAAGTAAAACACAAGCTTTTAAGTGCAATAATATTTTAGTAATTTCTATGGAGCAAGACATACATGATTTCATAACCATGTTGTCAATATTACACAATGAAAATTTAAAACAAACTGACTGAAATTACAGAATTTTCTTCATCACAAAACGTACCTGCTAAATTTTTATCATAAAAATCCCCCAAACTAAGAAAATATCATGAATTTTTGAAATATATTGGGACAAATTACCCATAAACTTTAATTTTTTTTTTACCACACAAGAATTATTCTTACTCATGTAAAAATGTCATTATTTACCATACGTGGGTTGTGTACAAGTTGCAAGCATTACTACCTACAATTACTGAAACTGGATAATGGAAACTGAAAAATTGTTTTTAATCAAAATGCCATGGACTACCTGATTCTTACTTGTTAATCTTAATTTTGTAAGCCCATTTATTTAATTGAAACAAACTTGGATTAGTTTTTAAGGAGTTTGTATTTTAAATGGTATATTAATTAAGTGCTAGAAAAACTATAATTTCTTGGTTATTTTACTCTGAATTCAAGTTAATTTTTTAAATTTTTTATTGAGTGTTTCTTAAAAATAATACGGATCAACATTAAGTTGACATTCAGTTAAGGATTAAATGTTGCTCTTAGAAAATAAAATGCCATTTATCTAACTTCATGAGGTGTATTATTTTCTAAAATAAAAGGCATGAGTTTTTGAAACACAAAACTTTTACATATAGTTAATAAGATGACTAAACTATGTTGATGTAACAAACTTATCATTATGAAAACCTGAGAGTTTGAGTAACTTGAACATTTTAAAATTGAATAAAAATGCAAATATTATGGCAGATTACAAAATAAAACTAGAGTAAGAATATGGTATTAAAGTAATCCAGTGATGAAACTTAATGGACATAAGTTTTGGAATAAAACAGATGTTCACAATTAAACTTTAACAATCAAGCATCTATAAATAATAAATTAACAAAAGCCCCAAAGAATGAAGCATTTGTCTTCATTAAACTTAAGGTCTTTAGTTTTATAAGTAGCAGAAAAATTAAACAAACACAAAGAGCATAAATTAATTTTATAAGGCAACTATTGTTTCCAAAGCATCACAGAATCATTTGTGTTTGAATACTAAGGATGTAGCAGGTAAGCAAGTCATGGTTATATCTTGTGTATTATCAATATTTACAGATGTTGATCTGGAGATAAAAATAAATTTCTAAATCATTGGTGTTTCTTTAACAATAGTACAGTGAAATGAGTATTTTTTTAAATCTGGAAGCGACTTCCAGAAAGCTGTATGCAACCGAAAATAATTTTGCAATTGTCGTTGTGATGATCACAAATTGGAGCACACCATGAGCTTGATCTATAAAACATAAATGTTCAGTTAATTCTTGACATATATGTTAGTTTGAACCATTAACAATTGTTATTCTTTACCATGCATAGATATAAAATACTGTGCATGCATTTTACTTAGCCACAAGTGTGCATTCTTGACAGCAAAACAAAAACAGTATTTGTTGTACACAATATTGCTCTTAACCAAACACAAATGACATTCTTCATTATACACAAATGTAGTACACAAATACTTTTTGTTTTCAACTTCTTGGAAATTGATTATGACAACATCTTATAAAACATATGGAGAAGTAAATCAATAATAATAACCCTTCTAATATAATACACAGGGACCATGTAACATATCACCACATCGTATCAGTAAAAGAAGGAATACCTGTTTTCTAAAAGATCACGAATAGAGGTAAGAGAGGGTCCAGCACCCAAGTGTGTGTAGAAAGGAGCCTTTTCATGAACTGCTTAAAATAAAAGGAAAAAAACAACAATAAACAAGTTTTTTAAGGTACACACCTGATAAACAAAATATTTTGGTATTGATAAATGTGGAAAAATGTTTAATGACAAGTATGTCAGCCAGATGTCCTTTATGCAAAACTTATTTCAATTATAACTGCTAGATTTTTAACTCAAAGATATAACTTGTACATGATATGCTGGTAAGACCTTTTAATTCCCTTGTTGGTAGTACTTTTGAACCTTGGAGGTTACTTAAACATTGTTTTTTTTTAAAAACAGATGATACTGAAGTTCCTATTCTTACTGGTCATTTCATCTAGTACAAAGAAAAATAGCTGGGAGAATTAAAACAATTTTGAATATTCATAATTCTAGTCGAAGTAAAGAATACACCTTCTACCTTGTTGTATATTGTCATTACTAATGTTGCTGAATGACAAACTACCTTTGCAGAATAATTGATGCTGCTAACAAAATCCAAGATTGTTCCAGTAATTTAGTATTTCTTGTTCATTTGTATAATCATTCTTTATTTTTTTTAAATCAGTTACAATCTTTACTTGAAAAAATAAGACCTTATACGAGTTATTTACTTAAATGAGATGTTCCAAAAGAGTGTAATGCAAGACTTTTTTTTTATGACAGTGGATAGATTCTTGTGAAAAAAAATCTACAAAAATTAATATGGAAATTTAAGTAAACTTAAACTGATTTTGTACTTTATCAACTTAACTCTTGCACTATTTTTGTTCCATTAAGTAGTATATTCAATTAGCTACTGTACTGGTCAATTCATTATCTTTGTATAATTTCAGTCTCCCATACATGTGTGCATTATTGTTGCAATTAAAGATTGTATTTTTAAAATTATATTTACCTCCGATACATAATATAATATTGACATTTAATTGTACAAGATAAAGTCTAAGTCATTCCCTAGATATGTTAACATTTTCTGAAATCAAAAATGTATTTCCAATAATAGTTACCTCCGCTTACACTACAGCTATTACCCGACTGCAAGGGTTTCCTTCCTTTGCCAATCTAAGCACTGGTCTGATTTTTTCTTGCTTGCTCCAATCTTTTATTCCCCACTTAATTGTCTTTGGCGATATCTGTCTCATGACACTCTCCACCTACATGAATGCGCCGTCTATCCTGGTACTGTACATAAGCCTGTCATTCAGATAATATTATCACATTTTCGAGACTGACCCAATCTGCGGTCTCTCTAACACTGGCTCTTAGTGGGGAGGAAGGGCGGGAGAGTGTGAGAAGAGGCAAGTATTATTGGAAATACATTTTTGATTTAAGAAAATGTTAACTTCCAAAACATCTTCACCTCTTCTCACACTATAGGTACAATCCCACATTGATAAGGTGGAGGGGCCGGTGAGAGCATTATCCATAAAGAATATGTCCGCATAGATCGTGGGCATGCTAATAGAAAATTAGCAACCTAGTGGGGGAACCACACTACATCCAGAACAGGTGTGCTCTTCACCTAATTCATGCACTGCAAGTGGAATTTGACAAGATCCACCATTACTATTGGCCAATCCCCAACCAGGTAGCTAAGGTTCTACTGCTTGGGGTTAGAATTATAGGACCATGGTCCCTAAATCCCACATTGGTGGCTAGGACATTTGAAGCACAATATATATAGTTGTGAATGGATCACAACCTGTAGCTATAGAGTGATGCATTTCAAGCCACCAGAGTGACGATGAGAAGGTAAGCAACACCAAAGTGGACAAGCCCTCATTTCAACCTGAAAAAGTCTGAAAGGCAACACCCCCAACTCAAATGACAGGGTTCTGTATGCCATACTCAAGCTGAGGAAACAAAACTCATCTGGTCTGGAATTATGAACACTCATCATAACTCCCCAACCATGTGGGCAAGTTAAATTCCACTTCTTCCCAGAATTATGGGGAGGATGTGGAACAAACTGTGCTCAATCAAGGACTCAGGATGGGACCACTTTTCATTCATAATTACAAGGAGACAATGGACACTCTTCCAAGAACAAAATATAGAACCAATATTGATTAAAAAGAAAAGCCACGCTCAACCCAACCCGGACAGCCGAGTGTCAAATCTGAATCAGTATTACGAGTAGGATCCCGCATGGGTTGGTGCCTCCTACAAACCAGCTGAAAAAAAAAACATCCAAGGTCCTGGGTAAGAGGGCCTCCAACTTCACCCTCTTCTTCAAGAGTGGAGAAAATTCACTGAACACTCTCGAGGAACAACCTCTAACCACCACTTTAGTGACCAGAAACTGGCTGTCGTAAAGAATATCTAGCTCCACTAGTAGAACATGGGGTAGGGTAATGTACATTGGGGTATCCTGAGGAACAATGCTCTGCTCTGGAAATAGTGCAATACGTGAATCCAGTTCTCTAAATTTTTAAAAGCAAACCAACCCTGATTTATTCAATCGAATGATTGACAGGGATGTGCAGATCCCCTTGCACATTACTTATGACAGTTCACGAGTGGTGGTCCAACATAATATAGTAATACCACCTGGTCTGCCTGTAGGTGGTCTTATGGGACATCTCATTTTTTATAGAGCCTGCTGTTGATAGTGCAGATTTGATTTGATAAAAGCACACCTGCCTGGGCAACACTCGACACAGTGTGGGATCCTATGAAAAAGAGGTAAGGGACCCTGGAAAGTAAAGAAGAGACAAGATTAATAATGAAGATACTCACCCTTCTTTATAATCTAGTGAATGTGGTTAAGATAGCTACAGATGGTAGTTGAAAACACTCAGAGGAAGATACTGCCAGATCATGCAAATAATGTGAGATAAAGGTATTGGGGGAAGTCCACATACTGTCCTGTACAATGTCTTCCAGTGGACAATTCAACCAGGCTGCTAAGGACATAGAAATGTGATGAATCTGATGAAACATGACTCACTGACATTTCCTCGCCTCCAAAGAGAGTCCAGAATAAGCAATATGGATCAATTTTCGTACCCACCTTGACAAAGTAACCAAGGATAAATCCTAAACAACTAAAGGATCCCAATGAATAAAAATCATTGTCTAGCACCTCCAAAGGTGTTAGTGTGGGCAATGAAGCAGCCAGGGAAGGGGATAAACCCTTTCACCGATTCATCTGATCTCTGTTTCTCACCTCTATGACCAGTCATTTGTTATGTCCAGTGAGAAACAGAGATCAGATGAATCGGTGAAAATGATTTATCCCCTTCCCTGGCTGCTAGTGTCTTAAGTAAAAAGGATCTGTCTTGGTATAGAAGTATGTGAGTAGAATGATAAAGCGTGCTGTGTACATGCAATGTAAGCAACTCCAACCGATAACGTCCGCAGGCCAGCAGCAACAAAAAATAAACCTTAAGGGAAAGGTGATACATAATACATAAGGCTAAGGGCTCAAATAGATGTCAAGAAAGAGCTGGTAACACCACCTTAATATCCCAGTTAGGTAACTGAAACAGTCTTTTGGGATGAATGACTCAAAACAACTTGAGGAGGCCAGAGAGCACAGGGGACTCAAATAATTTTGTCTCTTCGAGTATCTAAAGGTAGTCAATAAGGCTACCTTATATAAGGAGATTATGGAAGATGCTCAACCCCTGTCAAAGAGCCAGGTCAGATGGATGATATATTGTGTTGAAGTGAGAATAGATTTCTTGGCTCTGATAATAAAGCCTGCTTTGGTTGCTTCTGAAAATAGAATCTGGGTGTGACATTTCGCCAACTGACAAGATGGTGCCAGTAATAATCAGTATTCGATGTAATGGTGTGTGCACAGGTATAGGGAATGGAGATGACAAGAAAAAGACTTGTACAATTCGACAGAACACATATGGTGCTGATACTAGTCTGAAGGGCAGAGCCCTGAACTGAATCACTGACCCTTGTGCACAAAACACAGATAGTGGCAGAATGACTCTTGCTATGAGAATGTGTAGATAGGCATCAGTGACATCGAACTTGGTCATCCACAGTCTTGGCAAAAAATACTGATACAGACTGAGAAATGAGGATCTAGGAATTAATTGAGACGAGAAAGATCGATGACTGAACACCAATCTCCTGTATTCTTGGGCACAACAAACAGGTGAGAAAAAAACCCTGGAAGAACTGGAATGACTCTCCACTGCCCCCTTGATCAACATATCTTTGATAGCCATGGAATAAATTTCCAAAATAATGTCATCATTGGCTTCTTGACTTTCCTTGGCTCCTACAGGGGGGGGGGGGGTCAGAATTCTGCCTATATTTGAGTGTCTTAACCCCTGACATGAGCTCCACAAACCAGTGTTACCTAGAATATATTCCACACATTTTCACGAGGTTCCTCTGCTCGGTTGGAATGCCGCCAGAAGCGGTGGTCTCTACCATATGCATTTGGGGTCTGTGGGGCCTTGGCTCTAAGAATTTCTAGATATGTAGAAAACTTTTACCACAGATTCATGGGTACTGCAGGTCCTTGCATCAAGATTAGTCATTCAGTTCACATTTCCACCACCATTATCCCCCAACCCATAATGTTTCCACCTCCTGCAGATCCTCGGGATGAATGTAGATGAGCAACATTAACCATTGATTCCAAAGACTCTGGAATGCCTGCAAAAATCAAGAGGCTGAGAAAGAGGACCTCACTTAACTCACGGAGGGTGGGAGTTAGTAGGTGAACATTGTCCAACAATGCATTTCTCCCCAACATTATACCAGCTAGAAAAAGTGCAAAAGCTGAATATCAAACCAAGGTAGATATCAACAATGGTCCAACTTCATAAAATTGATGTGGCGATTGCCGAGATGCTTCCAACAAAAGTTGGAGGGATGATAAATATGTCAGAGCTGTAGGTAGGGTCAGGTGAATCCTAGAACTCCTTTCTGAAACCCTACATTTCTTTAAGAGTCTAAATATGTATCCACCTAGCAGTGATAGGCTAAAGTATGTTATTCCAATAAACAGGGTGGAGACGGCATAGCTGTCCTTTGACGTAACTGAGCAGTAGACCTCCCTGCATAAACTGCAATATCAGGGAATGAAGGGAGAACTAAGTATTCGCTCCCAGACCTTTCCACCGTAAAGGAATTCGCAGACTCAAAACATCACACACTCAGTTGACTAACTGAAGAAAACGAGCTGGAGGTAGCTGATCCAAATTGGTCCTGCAAGAAGCTGACAGAGTATGGGAAGGCACTGGAAAAACAAACCCACATTCTCTCCAGAATGTCCAGGATTGCCCACAACTGCAGCCTTAGAGCTTCCCGGAGAAACACCACTGGACCGAATATATGTGTCCACCTCACTAGGAATAAGGTAATGGACAGCCTCAACTGAGAGTAACTCTTCCCCTGACTGTTGAGCAATGCTAGATATTAGAGGTGGGATAGGGGAGATCCAACTTGCCTTCATGTTGGAAGCAGTAATCTTGGAATTCATGCAGTAAATTGCCTTGCCAAATGATTTTTTTTACAAAAATCAGCTAGGTAACATGAATAGAATTCTCAAAGTATCTCCAATGGTTGCAGTACAGATAAACCCATTAGTGAATGCTTTGTCAAGAAAAAATAATAATATTATCTAAATGAGGTGCTTATATACAGTACCAAGATAGAGGGTGTATTGACATAGGTAGAGAGTGTCACGAGACAGATATTGCCAAAGACAATTAAGTAGGGGAAAAAAAACTGGAGCAAGTGAGAAAAAAATCAGACCAATGTTTAGATGGGCAAAGGAATGAAACCTTAGCAGTTGAGTAATAGCTGTAGTCTGAGAAGAGGTAAGTATATCTGAAAGGTTATGAATTTCTATTAAACAGAATTATGAGGAAATTTGTTTCATGCTTTGGAAGGAGAAAGATGTATGAACAAATCAATAACTTGTGTAGCAGTTTTCCATCAGTGGTTTTATCACATATTCACAGTTAGTTTTTCTCAGAACATAAATGTTGATCTACAGACAGAAAAAAAAAATTCTTTACAAATCGACTACCAACAAAATAAAGTGTCAAAAGTACTCAGCTAGTGGACATGAATTTATTGATAGTGGAATATACAAGGCTCAGGGTTTTTCAATTCAAAGCACTTCTTGTACAAAAAAAAAAAAGAGTATATCATAATAAAATAAACCTAATTTCTTTAAAAATCAAATGATATGCTTTCTTGAATCAAGAGGCCATAAAATGCTTCAGGTAAAAACCCAAAACACAGGCAAGAAACAAATCAATACCCTGGTGAAAAGTTTTAAGTGAAATTACAAAACAATGAAAATAAATTTGAAAACTAAAATATCTTAAACAGCATTTGATCTTACAGCTTCCACTTAAGATATTTTACCTTACTTCACACATATGGATCTTCTTTATGGAATTAGTAGTTGATATTTTTAATATCAATCCTTCAAAAATGATGCAACCAAGATAGTAGGGATGGCATCTGTATCATCCCAACATAATAATACAGGCACACAGTGTTGTAGAATGTCAACAGACAAAAATACTATAAATTAAACTCAACTGTGATTGAATAGTTATATATGTACATATATATAGCTATATGTTAATTCTTGCCAGTGCTATTATATAGAGAAGATGCAAATGCCATCTTTTCTATCTTGTTTGCATTCTTTTTGATATTAACTATATTGAGAAGATATTTAAAATACCATTTTGATGAACAATCTGAGCCATCGCTACATAGACAGTGCTATCACCTGCCTGATAAATATAATCTATTTCCTATGATACTTATGATATTTTGCCTTTTCAAGTCTTCTTGTTTCATACTTCACTAATTTCACCAGATTATGCTGTGTGGAGGATTTTCATTATTTGTGATGAAAACCTTATGTTTGTGACAAAAGCTCCTTTTTTACACAAAATAAAATAGAATAAATAACCTTATGGACTTTACAGATTAGTTTATGTCATTGGTGAAAAATTAATGAACTGCCCCACCTCCGAGCAGTGGTCAAAGTGAATTATTATACATGCTTTATTTGGTAAATTTCCTTTTGTTACATGTTTGTGGGCTCAAGAAAAAAAAAGACTGTTTATCATATAATTTCCACTACATCTAAACACTGAGCTAAAGATCTTAGGCATTTATAAACAATCACATCTAAATGTTTCCTTTACTGTCACAACATAGTTATCATCATCATCCCACACAGTAAATACAACTTTACATAAATGTACTTTTCAAATTTTCATATTCAACATAAACCATCTTTGCTAATCTTAGCAAACCTTAAACATACATCTCAGTTGACACTTCTGGCATCAAAAACATACAATAAAGATAACAATTTTCTTGCAATTCAAAGAGCATAATGTTACCAAGTTTTAGAGCATGTGAAGATTGAATCAGGGCTGCAATAACGGAAGTCTATTATACTCGTACAATTATAATTATAAAAATATATACATTTGTTATCAAGTAGTACTTTTGCCACCGCAAATAAATCACAAAAACATTATGAATTAGAAACTATAATCTTTTCTGAAAAACAACTCAAAACACACACAACATTATTACTAACTAAATCACATAACTTCATCCTTTTTTTTAATAACAAGGAACCATTTGGTCCTTCAAATTGCATTCCCACCCACCACAAAAACAAAAATACAATTAACTCCATTATAAATGGAGCTTAGGCTGTTTTTCCAAACATAAACTTGATCCTCTCATTCTGATTATTTCATGATTCAACAGAAAAAGTAAGAAGCCTTTGTCCTATCTATTCATTGGATAAGCTTGTAAGCTTCAATATTATATTTCTAAATGTCCTTAGATATTTTAAAGTGACATTTCATATCAATAAACAAAAAAATCAAAAATAAAGTAAATTCTAAAATAAAATTATTGTATGAAGAAATAAATTATTCTTAAAGTAAGAAAATAAAATATCATATTTAAGAACATTTCATTTGGGGGGGGGGGAGAAGGGAGTGAAACTCTTCATTTTGTAATTGAAATCATCTGGCAACTAAAGCCATTAAAAACATCTTATTTCTAGTAAATCTATCATGGTTCACAATACACTTTTCTTTGTACTTGGTGTTCCCTATAAAATAATTTCTTTAGAAATTTTGAAGTAAATTTCATTAAACTCCTATGCAAAATAAAAATTAACATAGAAAAAATCTTGATTGTAGTAAATAGAAAAATAAGTGTGTCAAAACATTCACTGGTGAAGAAGTTTAGTCTGAATATATTAAAAAACTCACTCTTAGTTTCTGATTTACATACATTTGTGTTAAAGTCTCTATATTTGTCAAGTTTCAATTTTTAGCTGGTAAAAAACAAAACATGTACCAAGTTAATTCATTTTATTTCTTAATTTCTATTATCTGGCTGTCTTCCCAATCCTTTCTTTTTTGTTGTAAATTTAAACCAAACAAATTTTTTTATGTTTAATAAATGCTTACTAAGAATATGAACTCTCTACTATATAAATAAACTAACTCAGGCTATGAATAATATACCTTTGAGATCAATCAGGTGTACCATAACTTTTACACTCAAGCTCAGTAGAATGTCACTTTCATTTTACAAAAGACAGAGGATTTTGGATTTATTACTTACCTTCCTCAGTTCCAAAGCATTTACATGAAGGAACTTCAACTTTCGTATTGTTCTTTAAGCGCTCCAACCTTGTCCACCAGTCCTGATTTTGAATATCTGGCAAAGTAAGCTTCACAGGTTGTGAAGAGTTGTTAGTATATACAAATGTTTCTCTGTTTGTAGCTACAGAAGTGCTTATCACAGGCAGATGTTGAATCTTGGATGCCTGGCATGAGGCATGAGGGTCACTTTGATCAGTGCATATATTTGAAACCAGACTGCTTTTTTCTGATATGCTTTGAAAAGGATGTAACACAGAGGTAGTACTTTGGACTAAAGAACCTGAAACACAGTCAGCAACTGTTTCCACTGATTGATTTATATCAGTAAAAATATCAGGAACAAGAGAAGATGAGTAGAGAACTTGTAATGAAGATGTAGGTAGATTCAATGTATTTGAATTATTAGTATTTAAAGGCATGGCTGTACTGAATACAAAAGGCTGTGATTCCAAAATATTTTTTACATTATACTCTTTTCTAGTTTCATTAGATGAACAATTAGAAGCAGAGTTGATGGGAGCATATTCTAAGAATTTTCTACGATCCTGGTTTTTTAATAGTAATGATACACTGGGTCCCAATGCAGTTCTTGAATTTGTTAATGAGGGCATTGGTGAATCAGTGCTTCGGCTGGTATACATAGAGTTTGATGAAAACTGCAAGGACAGAGACTCTGCAGAAAAAGACAGATCCACCAATTGCTCAGATTGATCAAATGGAAACCTACTGGGTTGAACACATCTATTGAACAAGTTTTTTTTCTTCCAAGAACTGCAAAATCCATTCATTGTAATCATTTGGCTTTCAGAAACTGCGATTTTAGAGCTTCCAGAACTACTGCAAAACACATAATTTCCTAAGTTTTGATAATATTTTTGTATTCCAAGTGGACTCATGATCTGTGAAAGGTGACTTTCATCTTTGTTATTGGCTTTAGAAACAAGTCTTTTCTCATTTTCATTTAATTGCTCTTCATAACCACTTTGCCAGTGTTTCACAGATTCACATTCCTGAATACATGCAGTACCTACAATGTGAGAGCTAGAATTCTGCAAGGACATCATACAACTGATTTTTTGACCTAGAACATCTGGTTCCAAATCTATTAAGTTATTTTCAGCATCAGAATTTGAAGAAAAGGGAGCCTGATTATCACAAAGGTCCATGGGATGTTCCAAGATCTTCTGAAATTGTTCAGTCTGCTCTAAATGCTCCTTATGTTTCTGACAACTCTGGGATTTCCAAGATCTTCTGGAATTGTTCAGTCTGCTCTAAATGCTCCTTATGTTTCTGACAACTCTGGATAAATGAGTTCAGACAACTGCTTATTATCCGATGTCTTGATGCACTACTTGTTTTTTCTTGCTCAGGACACATGGCACTGGTGTTTGAATCAATCTGGCCATTAAAAGAAGGCAGTGATTGGTAATCTGGATGGAAACTGTAATGTGAGTATGTTCCATAAAGATGAACTTCCTCCAATGACAGAAAGTGATCCTGTTGACTTGTGTTACTATCAAATAGTGTAATTTGCTGCACCTATAGAAAAACATAAAAAGAATGTAATCAATACCAAATAAAAAACTTTACTTTTGGATGTGGGTATAGATAAATATGGTTGTTATATCAATCTGCAATAGATGAAAAGCTAGGATCCCCAGCTTACACAGATGTTTAGACTGATGCTCTACCCACTGATATAATGGAGCATCATGCCCAAAGCAGACAAAACTAGCTGAATCATTACATATTATCTTCACTAATTTATCAAAATACCTTTGTTTAGAGCAATTCTCATTAGCTGTGTTGGTCTGAGTGGCTTAGTTCACCACCATGTAACTACTTTTGTTTCGATTAATATATATGTCATCACAACTTATTAATTACAACTTACACACTTCAGTAGTCACATGTCACATTCTACATATTTCATACTTTATTAAATATATTTTTAAATTCATTTGAAACTATAAAAAGCCCTAATCATGCTTTGAATCCAGGGTCCCACAATGACCCTAGTATTCCAAGACTGATGCTCTTCCCATAGAACTAACATAACATAATATTTTGAGAAAACATGGGACCTATTGGCCCATCTTGGCTGTCCCATCTTCAAAAATAGATTAAAATAATTTAAAAATTTTAAAACCCAGCCCTTTTCATTCATATACTTATCAAGCTCTTTCTTAAACTCACTTAAATTTACTGTCTCTACAACATCTGAAGGTAACTCATTCCAAAGCCCAACCACCCTGTTAGAAAAATAAAACTGCCTTAGCTGAAAATGACTCCTACCTTGGCAAAAGTTATATCTGTATTCACTAATCCTACTATTCTCATTGTTAAATATAAAAACAAAGATGATACATCAACACTATCAATTCCCTTTACAATCTTAAACACCTCAATCAGATCCCCCCTAACTTTTCTTTTTTCGAGAGAAAACAATTTGAGAGATTTCGGCCTCTATTCATATCACAACCCCTCCATCCCAGGCACCATTCTAGTAACCCTTCTCTGAACCTTTTCCAACAATTCAATATCCCTCCTAAGGTAAGGAACCCAAGACTGAACACAATATGCCAAAGGTGGCCTAACCAGTGACCTATACAATGAAAGTATAACCTCTTTAGACTTGTATTCAATATTTCTATAGATAAAACCTAAAATCCAATTTGTCCTACCACTAGCAATAGCACACTGCTTG